GAGTCGTGTTTATTCTTTGACGACAACGCCGTTAACATATGTCGTCCTCCTTGACAGGGCCCTCGCAATGATAAGATTAGTACTCATGTTTACACCAGTATTTTTTTCTTCTTTTTTTATATATTTGACGAGACTGAGTAGTAAATAAAAGGTCGTCAAGCGGCTGTCAAACGAACGAGAAAATACCTCCAACAGAAGACCTCGGCGTTCGCTTCTCTATTGCGTTCTCTTATTTCGTTCAACGCTTCGCCAAATCGGCACGAAACGCTTTTCACCTCATTGTTTCCAATAAATGCTAACTGCCGCTTTTACCCTTACTACTATTATTACTGCCCCTTAGAGCACGCGTAGGCCGGAGTCCTCCCGACAGAGGACATAGACCAACTCAACTCTATGACGTCACAACATGGCGGTGGCGCAGCTCTGTCGGCACTGCGCAGGCGCAGTGCCCGTACGCGGTGTTGGGCAGACGAATTGCTTGCTCGTAAACAGTGTGTTGGTTGATAGCGGAAAATGTTTAGGCTTCGGAAACATTTTGGAGCACAACAAATGCAATCTGCACTGGAACAGTCAATGCGTAGAACGCAAGCTCCAAAAACCGCCCCGGTCGACACACACTCTAAAAAAATGCCCGTGCGTCTACTTTCCCGCACAACACTCGGACAGCCAATCACCTCAACTTACGCAGGCAGCCCAGCGAACGACGATGCCGACACAAATGTTTAAACCAAAAAACGCAGTCTGAGTTGTGACATTAAGTAATGCAAAACGTCACGCTTGCATTGCTTAATGTCACTACTCAGACTGCGTTTTTTGGTCTAAACATGTTTCGGCGTCGTCATTCGCTGAGCTGCCTCCGTAAGTTGCGCTGATTGGCTGTCCGAGTGTTGTGCGGGAAAGTAGACGCATGGGCGTTTTTTTAGGGTGCATCCCAAAGGAATTCACGTGATATCAGTTTTGATGAATTCCGACTCCCGGGACCTAATCGCCACGTTCGGACAAATGCTCTTCGTATTTCGGCCAATCTCGTCAGGTGACACAAACGCAGAAATGAAATGAACTGAAATGAACACGATAAAAATGTAATAAAGAAATGTTTGAAGCCACCGAAGAATGCAGCCTGCAGAAATGTTCTAACGCGCGAACAGGCCTTCATCATTCTAGGTGTTAATAATAATATTAATAATAATTTTTATTTGCGGTCAAAGTATATTACGGAGTGAGACTGAGGAAAAAAGCTTTACGAGTCTTCGCCCTTTTCCCATCCTTACAAAAGCCAGCAGGTTCAGTGTATTGTTCTACATAGAACTACGAAACATTTAATTGGGAGCTCCACATACATACGTAACTCATATACATAAGAGTATGATCCATGTAAGGCTAAGCATAATTACCAAGATTTTAAAACAAATACAACTACCACATTGAAAAAAAAAAGTCAACTTATAAAACACACTCGGATACATTTTAGTGATGATATTTTCAGTATTCAGATAAGTTAACACGCTGGGAAGTTTGAAGAATGACATCGGTTCGCAATACTTTGTTTTGTTAGCAGGAACCTTCCAGATGTCGGTGCTTCGTGTGGGATATATCGGTGATTTGGTTGTAAGGGCGCAAATTTAATAACGTCGCAAACATTGTTCTATAATTCAGATTTACAACTTATGCAAAAACGATATTTATATGAGACACTTACGTCCACCATATTTAAATATGAAAAAAGAGGGTTACTATGGTGATCGTATGAAACAATACAGGTCATTCGTATTATCATTTTTTTGTAACGTAATTATTTTGTTTAAAATTTAACTCGTAGCATTTCCCCGAACTAGCCGACAATTAATAGTTTATAACAGGAACGAATAAGAAATTATAACTAACTAATTTCACTTTTTTTTTTCTTTTAAATACGGCGCAAAGATTATGGCGTAATGTTAAAGCAGTTGGCTGGATCGATGTAGATGACGTAGAGAATGCAGTCCGCAGGCCTTGTGTCGAATAAACACCGTGCTCCGTGGAAAACAAGCAGGAGAGAGCGCCCCCTATAGGGCCTATTCACTGGCGGTCATAGCTGACCTCGCTGCTGCTTTCGAATCACCGGGGAAGAGGGAGAGAGGAAAGCTACTTTTGTACGAATTTCGAGTGAAAGTTAATCTTCTATAATCGTCTAGAGGGAGAATAGTGACATCTGGGGAGGCCTGGGACATACAAAGGAAAGTCCCGGTGAGAAGACAGTTTCCCCTTCCCCTCTTCACTTGGCATTGCCCGAGAGCCGACGGGAAACTCCTCCCGGGCGTGCGCTGTGAGCAGTTAGCTCAAATACGGCGTCCTCTCAAGGCGCCGCCATCTTGCTCGGCTGGGGTGCGCGTGGGCGCGGCCATTATCCATTACGACGCCTTAGCGAGGCTTCGTAATCGGATTATGGCCGCGTCCAAGAGTACCCCAACTGAAAAAGATGGCAGCGCCCTGAAGCCGGACTTCCAAACATGCATACATGTTTGCAAGTCCCGCCTCAGGGCGCCGCCATCTTGATCAGCTGGGGTGCGCGTGGGCGCAGCCATAATCCATTACGACGCCTTAGCGAGGCTTCGTAATCGGATTATGGCCGCGTCCAAGAGTACCCCAACTGAAAAAGATGGCAGCGCCCTGAAGCCGGACTTGCAAACATGCATACATGTTTGCAAGTCCGGCCTCAGGGCGCCGCCATCTTGCTCATTGGGGTGCGCGTGGGCGCGGCCATAATCCATTACGATGCCTTAGCGAGGCTTCGTAATCGGATTATGACGCGTCCAAGAGCACCCCAATGAGCACCCGGAGGCCGGACTTGCAAACGTGTACAGTTCGATGTCTTCGGCGTGTGACAGCGATGTTCGCTTATAAGCGGCACGCGACACTGAAAGCGAGCCGCGTTACCGGGGCAACGATCGGAGGACGCGGGAGCGTCCGTAATTGGAAGTGCGACGACTTCGCGCATGTAACGCTGATAGCGCTAAGAGCAGACGCGGCGGTGGGCCGCAGCAAGAGGCCGATAAGCGCGCGAGGGAACGGATTAACCCGGCGCTAGAGTGTGGGCCTGCGATTAGGCCGACGTCCGCTTATTCCGGGGGAACGGTCCAGGAGGAAGCACACGGCGCCGTATAGGTGCGGAACAAACAGAGAATCGATGGCCTAATTGGTCATCGATAGCAAATGGACAAAGACGAGGAGGGCCTTGACGGTTTTTGGCGCTACGTGATTAACATCATTTGATCGTACACCGTCGGCTGCAGTCGGAGTATGAACACCGTACCTCGAGTATGAACACGTACACCGTCGGCTGTTCATACGGAGTATGAACAAACCTATTATTAAAGGGAAACTGAAGCGGTTCTGGATTTTCAGGAAGAACACTGAAATCGTCTTCATTTGGCCTCCAGGATCATGCGTATCGCGATTATTTCTTCAATTGAGGGCACGGAGCCTGCAGAAAATGATTTCCAAAGAACCTCCGAATCCCTTCTTTCCCGGAGCGTAACGTCATACAAGGAGTTTTCGAAATCTCCGCTCTCGCGCATTTTCAGCGCCTATCAAAGCTATATACGCGCACCCTCGCTATTTTCAAGCTCGCATTTGCATAAGCTGCCCACACGAGCGACACGGGCTTGGTGGACGAAAGATTATTTTATGACGTAACGACTGGTCGGAAGTATTTTCCTGATTACTCGTGTCTAATTACATCTTTAAAAAAAATAAAATAAACCTGATATTTTGATTTACGGGATAAAAAGACTAGAATTCAACTCTAACACTTTTTTTTTCAATATTTTTGAAAACTTTTTTAAGCAATAACGTAGCCAACCTATTTTTTCAATAATTTATAATTTATAAGCTTTGTAAGACTCCTCTGCCACAAGGGTATGCCGAGTTCGTAGCAAAAGCTTGAAAATAAATCACATAAGAGCCATGGCTACGGGGCTACGCCCACGTCCGCTCTGGGTTTCATTGTATCCTGTCTTTAATGCCTACTGCCGAAAAAAAGAAAAGGACGATTTCGATTTTAGCCAATTGTTTCACTTATTTAACGAACAAACCATTCTTATTCGTGAATATAGTTTCGTTTGAAATATTTATAAATGTTTCAAACGACAAAAAGTCGTTAAGAGGACAAGTGAATTTACAGGGGAGGTATAGCCATTTATGGGAATAGCGGTCCACCCATATATGCTTTAGCCGCATATCTTATTAAGATCATATATCGGTAGACAACGGAAAACACTTACGCCACCAACGTCTAATAGGCAGAACAAGCGCGAATTTCTTCTGGCATCGCGCTTTACGAGTGCATCCTTTCAATACGAGTTGAGGAAGCCGGGCATAATGTCTAAACTCAATCTAAAGATTTGTGTCCAAAGAAACTTTTTTCTTGCTGTTTCTTTTTTTTTTTTCATTTAACAGTTTTCGCGGCTGCTCAGACAGTACCGCCATTGGCCTAATGCGATATTACGTAAATCTAACACTGGCATTAACGAAACCAATAGGAAACGCCGTGGCTCCAAAATATCTTAAGTCAAATGTTTCATAACTTAAACGTCTCGCGAATCTACCCAAAACTAGGCTTTAATGTACCAAACAGTAACCATAACCAAAAACGCTATCTAACAAAGAAATAAAAAAGAGACAGTTTTGTTTAAACAGACGTTACCTTACACCAGCGCGACCTTGACGCGGGGATATCCGAGCAAAAAAGAAAAAAAAAAAAAAAAGACCTTGACGTATAACTTCCGCAACGAAAGCCAGAACATATAATAATAATAATAATTTTGTCTTGTTATTGCGGCGCTGCATATGGTAATTTATTCAAGCGAGGCAATGCGGGTGGTGTTTCAGCCTCTGGACACGTAAATTAAAAATAAAAATAGTCATCGAACGTGGACTTGTGGCGCCATCTAGGCATCGAGCCACAAAGCTTCGAGGCTGAGTAGGTTCGATGCTGCTTCGGTGACTGCGCGAGGACTTACCAGATGTCGCTCTTCATCGTAATCCTGTGTAGGATCCTCTTCCACCTGAAATATGAAGAAATCCTGATTATTTTCATCAAGAGACCACTTATCAACAGTAATAAAAGTAATTAAATCTTACAGTGATGACTAACCCTGCCAGAACTAAAGCAGCTTTAGAGGAACCATGGCAATAACTAATAGCAATGTTAGAGATCATAACGCTAATAGCACGAACATTTGGTAAATTATAAATCTTTCTACGTTCTAGATAATAATCGTTCCAGATAATAAAATATTGGGCGTGAACAATTCCGACAATGCCCGTGGTGTGGCTCCACCCTTCCCTTTAAGTTTTGTTTATACCTATACCGAATCACACAGATGAGGTTAGTGCTCGCGCTGCATAGGTCAATATAAAACTAAATACACAGTCTATTGTTCACATGCATATAAATAAATAAGAAAGTCACACGAAAAGAAAACAACGGATAATTATTACGGTATGCGTAAATATATGCCCGAGTCTTTTAGGCAAACCTGTTTATTCCAGTTATTCGCCACCCAATACTTGCGCAGGTAGCAATAGATAATTTATAAATAAATTCGAAAACCAATAAGTACTCTAATCTCAAATACTGTTTTACAGGTAATGCACACTGAATAGAAAATTTGGAGTTTCTCGATTTTGTCATTTTTCGAGTCGCGCGAAAGTCAAAATGATAAACTGCTAAAATCAACAACAAAAACACTAAAAAAAAAAAAAAAAAAAAAAAAAGCTTTGTGGAGCGTTTTTTTTGCTTGCCGTCATTAATTTATTGCGGTATGCAAATGATGAGGACAGTGAACACACTTTCGGAATTCAACATCAAAACAGAGCTAATAAAATAATAAAAGTGTAGGCCTTTTTTAATTTCTAGATTAATCGTTTTGGTATGAAAGAGTTAGTTCAAAGGAACTTGAGACTAAACTCTAATTCACAGACTTGCAACTACTTAGATCGTATAGGTTTAAAGCCTCTTGTGACTTCTTGTGACGACAAAAATGTGTGTCGACCGGTTAGAAGTTCACAAACATCAGTACTTTCTAAACATAGTACTAGCCGTACCCCCATCTCAGCTGCGTACAAAAGAGGAAAAAAATTCTGCGGTGTGACTATGTTTACAGTTGCCAGATCCCTCAATAAACGATGTGTTAAAAAAAAAAAGTTTTTTTGTTTTTTGGGGGGTTTGTGGCGGCTTACAACCCGGAAAGTCCGGTTTCGCCGCCTACTACAAATGGAGGGCAACCGGACTCGCCTTCTCCCATGGAAACAGATTAGTGTCGCAAGAAAACAGTGCCCCCCAAGAATGGCGAAAGGGCGGTCAAGGTCAAGGGAAAAGGGTGTGCGCGTGCGCAGACGCTTACTGGAAAAAGGTCCATTGCCGTACGGCGTTGGTGCTCTGTCAATGCGGGAAAATGCGAACAACACAAGAACAGCCGGCCATAGAAGAGTCGTAAAGCACGCGTACGTCGACCGGCCTCAATACACGCGCTTATTGTCACTTCGTCTATTGGGAGAGCAGCGTTGCACCCCAGGGAAGTCGCGAAATTTAGTAAAAATTTCAGTGAAATTCGATAAAAATCGACTCACGGACTGATAGTGTTATCCGACACAAGCCTTTCCAATTTCGGGAAACAAATATCCTTTATGAAGTCGTTTCTTTTAAACCTGATAAATGTATTGGCGATATTTACACGATATAAAAACAAACGTGTACGATTGTACCGATTCAGTAAATTTATTAACGCGAAACAATCAGACAATATACACGTTTGCGCACGCGCACGAAGGTCGAACTTCAATCGAACCTGTGTCGAACTTGGCGTTAGAAGTTCGAGAAAAGTCGAACCTGATCAAACTCTAAACCATTTCAGGCTCGAGATATCCCTGTTGCCTTACTCTGTGTGGTAACAGCTGCCAGGCCTAAGGATACTGACGTAATAAACATACAGCGTCGAATTAGTTCGTCGATCACTGGAGAGATGCAGCCGGCTGTAAAAATGCAGTATTTGTTTTTGAAATGATGTTTCGTATTCAAAGCAGACGGGCTTTGACAACGACTCTTTTCAAGCCCTTCAAAATGGCGCTGCTTTGATTTACGGTCGGCGTGACACAGCGGCTCAGAGACCAACGCCTATTTATTTATTTATTTTTGTAGCCGTTAAAAATTTGTTTTAATGTTTATACTTTTGCGCTAGAACCGGTTGGCGTCGCCTCTAGATATCTATTCCAATCGGCAGGAGACGCCACCTAGCGGAGTGCAGCTAGAAAAGAAACTTTATGTGAAGCCTCAACATTCGAGCAGACGTCTTCGGCATACCTCATACTACACTATAGCCAGTATAAGTTATGGCCGAATAAAGATACTTAAAAAAAAAAAAAACACGCCAATGTAACGTGGAGGTCTAGAAAATAAAAACAACAACCAAAAGACATTTGTAAACAAAAACAAAAAAATGGAAAACCGCTATTTAGTCAAAGGATGGTACTCGAAACGCTGATGTCTGCCTTGCGCTTATTTTTCACAACCCATCTACAAGAACGTCTAAAACTACTCCAGTCACGACTGAAAAAAAAAAAAAAAAAAAAAAGAAGAAGAAGAAAAAGAAGAAGAAGAAGAAGAAAAAAAACTTGTTTAGGATAATGAGTTGTGGTGCAGTCGCAATTTCTCAAGAGGCAAACCATTTCCATGTAAATCGCTCTTGCAGAACGAGGAACAATGTGACAAGTTGGCGCTAACGCATGCAGCTTGTAACGTTCAAGGAAGCGTCTGCTACCAATACAAGTTAGTTTTAAACCACCACTTCGTCGTCAATCTCCGCCTATAATCCCACATACCAGTTACAGTGACACAGGCACTCGCTTAGTGTATATGCTCATAAACGGCAAACAAGAAAAAGAACATGCAACCACTCAGTTCAATTTCGGTGACTCGGTATAAAACAGAATCCGACAAAAGGTGTTTTGTTTTCACCGGGACAGACGAAAACCCAGTTTTCTTTAAGACTACGGTACCGCCAAAGCACAGAAAACATGACTTCTTATATCCTTTTTTTTCTCGTTCAAATTAACGCGCGGTGTAGAATTTAAAGAAGGTTCGCGCCAGTGAACAGCGATTTCATCTCTGTGAAATAAACAGGTATTTATTATAGTCGGTGAATGGAAGCTCCACCGACCTCTTTCCACGTTAGCAGAGCGAACGCTGGACGCTGGAGAGGAGGTCGCCTCCTCTCCAGCGTTCGCTCTGCTAAAGTGGAAAGGGCTGGGAGGAGCTTGAACAAAAAATTCACAAGGTGTCTCTTATTTTATCCCTAAGACGACTTGAAGGCTAACGCCCCAGAGCTGATGCATTAAAGACAGACACCTCTCTTAATGCGCTGAGTCGTCTTAATGTGCTGAGTCATCCTTGTCGATGTGCGGAGTCATCCTTCTCAACGTGCTGAGTCACCATCTTAATTCGCTTAGTCAGCCACTTCATTCGCTTTAATTCACTTATTAATTCCGCTTAATGCACTTTAATTCCTCCTAATTAGCTTTGTCGCCCTTCTTAATTAGATTTGATTACTCTTACCTCTCTTTAATTCGTCTTAATTCACCTTGATTCCTCTTAATTCACGTTGATTCCTCTTAAGTCGCTTTATAGCACTTAATTCCCACTAATTCCTCTTACTTCTCTTTAATTCCTCTTACCTCTCTTTAATTCGTCTTAATTCACTTTGATTCCTCTTAATTAGCCTTGTCATCTTTCTTAATTTCATTGCCTCCAGTTCGCCTGAGTGTTCGCGTAAACGTTTTGGTACCTTTCGTGTCGTCGACGTGTTTTCGCTCAAGGACTTTGAAGGTCGACTGAACGATGAGACATAGAAGGCTTTCGCCCTAAAGAAAAGCACCCAGAACCCGGAGCACGAAAGACTAATGCCAACGTACTTCCGTTCAATCGCCGGGCAAATCTTCGAGAAAATTTCTTTTAATGACCGTTTTACAGTTCCCGCCTCACGAAAAGGGGGGAGGGCGGGAGAAAGTGGGGATGGGCTTGCAAGATGCTTTTAGTCTGATGTTTTAAACGATTCTGTCTTGTAACAAACGGGAAAGGCTTTAACAAAGACAAGCAATTTTCTTTTTCTTTTTTTTTTTTTGCAATGAGGTGTTAACGATGTGTTTTTGTGGTTTATGTTGAACCTTGCGTCGTCATGACTGTCGTGATTAGAAACTTCGTCTCGGACACGTGGTCCAGTGCATGTCCAATGTCAGAAATTCTGGCAATATGTACTCGATCCATCTCGTTCTACTTAGACACTACCCACGAAAGGAAAGGAGATATTTCGAGCGAGCGACACTTTCAATGCGAAAGCATTAACTGCCCCATGGAGCGAGCTGACGTCATCAGTTTGAAGCTCGAAAACGGCACCTAGTTTCCGCGATTTTGCCTTCGGTTTTATTGGCTGGCGCGCGTTGACGGGGCTCCCATTGGCCGCAGCGCTCGTCAGTTTCCACGACCGCTCACCCCATGGCGCTGCATGTCCATCAGCGCGCCGTTAACACGGAGCGTCCAAGGTCACCAGGGGAGCACGCGCGCTGACCGGCGACGAAAAGTACGCAGCAGACGACAAAGGGAGCGGACGAACGGCTTGCATGCTTTCGCATTCACAACTCATAAGAAGTGACATGATGAACAGAACAGCGCACACAAAGACAAGGACAGAGAAAAGGAACATGCAGGACACACAAGCGCTGACTCGCAACTGAATTTATACACAAAAGAAAGAAGAAGAAACCGTTCTGAAAGACACGCAGGGCACGCAGTGCTTATGACACGCGACACAACACCATCTAACTGCAATGTCCTTGTCCTTGTCTTTGTCTTTGTCTTTGTCCTTGTCTTTGTGTGCGCTGTTCTGTTCATCATGTCATCATACCAACTCGCCCAACTTACTACACTTCTGCAATTCATAAGAAGTGCTTAGCAGCACCTCGAGCTTTTTAAAGCGTCGCTTTTTACGGAACCCGCCAATCCCAAAATTTT